TCTCATTCAGTCCAGAAAATGCAGGCAGTAGCTAAAATAAATATCTTGCTGTACCGGTAATCGAACCAAGGTCGTATAGCCCGAAGCCCGTCACCGTAATGACTGCTCATAAAATGTATGTAGGAATAGTATAATTTGTTACCATGAAAATCGTAATGGAATTTTCAACTCACGATCGGCAATTACTTTACCCTCTAAATGCGTAATAATTAACTTACTCGACCACAAGAACATTCATTCAAAATACAACTTTTTTGCAAAAACGATCCTGAACATGTCACTTTCATTTGTCAATTAAACAAAGTGGTTATCATTTTCATCACGAGATTCGAATTCTAGAAAGCGTTATTCAGAAATGGCGCTAGAGAGAGGTACAGCACTGACGTCAACACTCTAAACCCACACATACGAACATGACTGGTTTATGGACAGCGCGACGTGGAAGTCCCTAAGAGTACTTGTAGCTTCATTACATCTAGACAGTTTCTGTGGCCAGTTACAAAAGCAAACATATATTTTTAATTAAAACAGACAGTAAAATCCTTCCAGAACACATGTTTAAATGTAGAAATGTCGGTTTTCTAACATGACAGTTATGTTATCAGCAGGCCTGGCACCATTACAATACATGCATGCAATGGTACCAACCGTCGACTCCCAAAACTTAACAACAATGCACGCATTACCATACTAGCGGAGGCGATAATTTACGATTTTTGAAAAGCCCTTTCACGCATGAAATTTCGAGTATGATATGCACAAAAAAGCAAAACAAGCTAGTTGAACGATGCATATATTAATATAACAGATATACGCGCAAGCAAAACAAACCAGCCACACTCTGGATTTCAACACAGTTGACATATATAACGCAGAGAAGAGCAAACACAATGAAGTTGTCTGGAGACTCCAGACTGGATATAACACAATATCCCTTTTAATATGAGTCTCAATGAGCAGAAACGTTTTAAGTTAATACTGTAATACTCCCACAAATCATTTAACAGAGGCAGTAACAGCTTAAGATTACTTAAAGAAGGTCTGTTTTACTCCAAACGCACTCCGTTAGTTAAATCACTGCGTAAAATCTTTTCAGTTTTCATCGTGTAGAGTGTAACACGAAACACTTTCCAGACCTCGGGTGGTTATTCATTGGCTTATTTTGTGTGAATAAATGCTATCTCAATATAAGCATAAATCTCACCTGTCACATAGTTATCTCATAAATCAGTTATCATTTCTGTCCTTGTACCCAAAATCAGTCTTTTACAGAACCTCCTAAACGCATGTTTAGATTAACATTCATTAACTGCCACAGTTCTGAATCCACAATGAATTATCTCGAAGTATTCAAATCCACAAAAATCGGCCATTTCTAACTGCTGGTATGACAGTTCCGGAGGTAATTTCAAACACTAAGTCGCTCAAGTGCGTTCTGTGTCACAACATACGTCAAACACGTCTCACGTAACTGATTCATTTTTACAATTAAAATAATGTAATTTCATGTGTACGCCTGACTTTCCTCCATTTGCATCCAACATAAGCAACATGAGATTTAGACTCATGTTTCACTCACAACAACGCAATGATTAACCACTAGAAGACTTGCAGACGTTTCGTGGGACACCCTGAATAACACTGCAATCTTAGTATTTGATTCAGTGTCAAACAATCCATTGTTCGCAAAGAGAAACCTAGAAGAAACATTGGTGGGGGGAAACAAAGCGATTAGGCTTATATTATCGTCATGTTTCGTGTGTGTCCTCGATTTTCATGAAACATTAGGCGCGTGCCATCTGAACCTACCCCTACCTTGTGAGTTACTTTAATTTCTTTACAATCACTAATTAATATGACGCGCTAACTTGTGAAATTGGAAAGAAACGGCGTTACTTAATACAGGCTCCTCAAATGATAGGACTCTGGATACATTATAAGCTCCTCCGAAACGTCGATCAATATCTACTTGACTACAACATTGAACGTGTTCTGTTTCTCTCCCGAACTAACGTCAATACTGGGTTCTTTTCGTGAGCATTTACTACTGACCTCTTAGTTGTACCTTCATAATCGCGTGCAGTATTATCACGTTATCCAGGATAGGATGGGGTAGTGTGAGGAGTTATAACGTGTTTTAAGTGCATTCTCCGAGCTATCTGCGTCTTATCTGCGCACGAACACATGTGCCCTATCTAACGCATCGTACAAAGAAAGAAAATATACAAGGCACTGTAAATTAACAGACATAACAATAATAGACCTACAACCAGACTATTATCGGTAAGGAATTGAACTTTTCTTTGTAAAGGGTAAGATAAGACGGTCATGTGGAAATGTACGGTGGAGATGAGAAATGACTACAAAATTTTATTCTGAAAATCTGAAGGAATGTGAACACTTCTAAAATCTAGGTGTAGACGATCAGGAATTTTTTTGACTACTTGAGATATCAGATTCTGACAGCGGCGATTAAGACTGTCTTTTTAGAAGATGTACATGTAGCCTGGTAGAAGTTCAGAGGTGCTTACTGCGTCCATAATCAGGACATTCCACACGGCAGCAACCTTTATTTCTTAACCAGATGGGCGACTATTAACCTCTGAAAGATGCTCTGTTCCATGGAGTTATTTGAAACGGTTACTTCCCTCTTATAGTTGTTTCGAAGAATTTTTTGGGGTTCTTTGACTAAAACAAATTTATATTTCACAGCCCGGGAGGGGGGGGGGAGAATACTAACACTTTGTATATTATGTCTGTGCCCAAATTATATATCTGAAATCCTAATATAATACATTCTTTATGCTTACGCGTACTCTCAACTATTTATATCACTAATTTATAAAGATTTACAGATACACTTCACTTCAGCTTCTATTTCGTAGTGTACGACTACATTCAACACACCACAGACGCCCTTAAAAAACAAGAACAAGGGAACCTAATTTAAAATTATGCCTCTGTGTGTTTCCAGCAGCTCTCCTATCACGGTTACTCTTTGCTTCTTATACAAGCTACCCACTCGACCCGGACCTGACGGACGGAGCCAAGTCTTTTACACGCTGTTTTACAAATAATTTCCCTTCTGGAAGGAAAGGAACCACATCTCAACTGCAGTCTACAATCGCAACACCAGATTACAGACACATACAAGCGTGTATCAGAGTCACAGCCTCCACGTAAAAAATGATGTCCAGAAAATACTTAATTGTTTTCCTCTTCTTGTGACGACTACAAACACGTCGGTCAAATTCTATCAGATTAAACGACACAACATACCACAAGACAACGTCCATATTAAAACAGATGAATCTAGCCCACCTCACACCATACGTCATCTAAGGTCAATTTTAATATCATATTCGCACGTACGCCTACCATCGCAAGTGACCACTTCTCACGATTTTCGGGTAAAATTATACAAGCATCTCTGCCAACCTCCACGGCCGATCAAAGTATAATCGCTGACGATCGCTATCCCAAGAGAAAACTTCATTTCTTAAGCATTATTGTACAGACGAGGGCACGCAATTTATCCTCCTTATCACCTACATAATAAACACAAGTTAGTACAGCTATGTCAAACAGCGTGCAATATTCAAACCGCATGTGAAAGAAGAAGAATGTGTTAAGTCCACTGCATTAATATTCCCCCTTGCAAACGTAATAAAACGAAAAGTCACTAATACAGTACTCAGTTGCGTAAAGAAAACAATTACGATACTTGCCTACGCTCGTCACAGTGAATGACATGGCCAATGCTAGTCGGATTTTACTTATTTTTGGATGTATCTGGATCCAGTGCTGAAACCTGAGCTTTTCGCAGTCTTCCTTCCATCCTATCAATTGTCAGTCTACTCTCACTTCCTCCCCTAGTCATAATTCGTATCTTCCCAACACTCATAGCAAAAATATGAAGTATCATGCTATTAAAGGCCGGACAAAACGAAGGAGCATTCATTCATCACAATTCTACGTCAATTTAACCCATTCAACAAGCTTTTCATTGGATCTTTTATGAACAAATGAAAGCATAAACATTCAACTCTCAAGAACATTAAAATGAGCACGACTACTCAGCCAAATCTGGTAAAACTTATTACGTGGGATGACAATATTTCAGACACCAAACTTCTAAACAAGCAAGCCCGGGCGGAACAGCGGGGAGCTCTTAAATCGATGTGTCGACACCTACTAAGTTAATAAATAAGCTTATAGCCCAATCACTGCTAGTTTCAAGGCCGCTGGGGAGTTGAATCAACGCGAACCGGGTCTGCAGAGAACTTTCAGAACTTGAATGGTCTCATACGCCCTGTGTATTAACAAACATTCAGTTTAATTATATTACTCGAGCGTGTGGCATGAATGTAGAAACGCACCAAGTGCTTCTTGCATTTGTTTTGGGTACATAAGCAGAATTCTGTAGCAATAAAATAATTTATGTAAGTCATATGGCATTTGTGCCTAGAAAACAATAAGAATTAAACAATGAAGAACGGAGTGGCTGTTCAGAACATTACTATCTCGGCACAAGCCTGAAAATAACATTAATACAAGAAATTCACATGTTAGGTTAGGTTAGTTCATGCGTTGCTTTGTTAATGCATGAATCACTTATG